TTGGACGCGTGTGATGGAGCATTGTCCTGCATGAAAATCATGTTTTTCTTGAAGGATGCAGACTTCTTCCTGTACCACTGCTTGAAGAAGGTGTCTTCCAGGAACTGGCAGTAGGACTGGGAGTTGAGCTTGACTCCATCCTCAACCCGAAAAGGCCCCACAAGCTCATCTTTGATGATACCAGCCCAAACCAGTACTCCACCTCCACCTTGCTGGCGTCTGAGTCGGACTGGAGCTCTCTGCCCTTTACCAATCCAGCCACGGGCCCATCCATCTGGCCCATCAAGACTCACTCTCATTTCATCAGTCCATAAACCTTAGAAAAATCAGTCTTGAGATATTTCTTGGCCCAGTCTTGACGTTTCAGCTTGTGTGTCTTGTTCAGTGGTGGTCGTCTTTCAGCCTTTCTTACCTTGGCCATGTCTCTGAGTATTGCACACCTTGTGCTTTTGGGCACTCCAGTGATGTTGCAGCTCTGAAATATGGCCAAACTGGTGGCAAGTGGCATCGTGGCAGCTGCACGCTTGACTTTTCTCAGTTCATGGGCAGTTATTTTGCGCCTTGGTTTTTCCACACGCTTCTTGCGACCCTGTTGACTATTTTGAATGAAACGCTTGATTGTTCGATGATCACGCTTCAGAAGCTTTGCAATTTTAAGAGTGCTGCATCCCTCTGCAAGATATCTCACTATTTTTGACTTTTCTGAGCCTGTCAAGTCCTTCTTTTGACCCATTTTGCCAAAGGAAAGGAAGTTGCCTAATAATTATGCACACCTGATATAGGGTGTTGATGTCATTAGACCACACCCCTTCTCATTACAGAGATGCACATCACCTAATATGCTTAATTGGTAGTAGGCTTTCGAGCCTATACAGCTTGGAGTAAGACAACATGCATAAAGAGGATGATGTGGTCAAAATACTCATTTGCCTAATAATTCTGCACTCCCTGTATGTACCAGAATGTAATTATTATTTTTTTACATTTTGTACTAAATTATAGAATTCTGTATTTTAGTAGTGTGGCAAGAATGCTATATTTTCTTTTATGTGCGTGTGCATCCATTAGATGAGGAAAAAAGAACATTATGGTAGAATAAATAGATAGCAATCATGCCAAAAAAAACAAGTTAGGAAAAAAAAAAACCCTACACATTACAACTTGCCGTTATCTCAGCAAATAACTACTGCGTAATACACAAAGTTCTTCATACTTTAATAGAGACGTACAGTCCGTCCACTTCCTTCCTTTGTAAGTCAATATCTTTACTATAAATATATATCAGTTCATGCGATGTGGAAAAACTTACTCTTTCACCTTATCACATACTTGACTGACATGTCCGATACTGGGGACTTCACAGACTTTGCCATCCAATACCAGTTTGGTGGGTTATAAACAGGGCAACCACATCCAGCCTTCTACCCTTATGAGGAAGTAATTTCCGAGCAGATCTACATGTGTTTATCTGAGCAGAGCTTTGTTTACCCAAATCAGAGATAAATGGAAACATGCACAGCTATTTACAATAAACAAGTTAAACACTTACTGAAGAAGAACAATACTTTGCGGCGTACTTCTGTATACTAGTAAGGAACGCCAGTAAATATACTCTAAAAATCTAAATATAAACATCAGCACAGAAGTTTGCACAGGGAAGCATTTCCCAAAATCTTTCTACCCTCTAGTATCCTAAATAGGCAAATTTTACAGATTTTTCCAACCAATCACAGTGAATATCAACATTTTCATTCAAGAAGAAGATCTGCGGAATTATTCAATAAGGTGAGATTTGCCAGGAATTCAGAGTGAATTTTAAGATTTAGGCCAAAATAGCCGAATTAGTAACATTCCAGAAGTCATTGCCGTTTCCAATTTGGCTTTTTTGACCTTAAATTAGTTAGTGCTTGGAATGATGTCTGTACACCAAAGCCAAAAATTTGCAACATTAATAAAAAAAATAATATAGGATATAATTTATCAAACTTGTCTGTTAAATAATTTTGTTGACATTTCACCCAAATTTGATATTTTATGAATTTCTTTACAGGGTCAAAATACTGTGAATTTTCTACACTTAATTTCTGTTGTTGTTTGCTTTTGACCGTTTTCTATTAATCTTTATGGTATCTGCAACATCACAGTATTCGTTTCTATATTATCGCACTATTTTGCTTTCTCTATAGATATACTAAGCTGTGTATACACCGAGATTACGAGAATAGTACGTGGCATGGATTACATCAATGGTTACTATCTGAACGTGGATTGGCATTATCCTGAATGAGTTGGTACTGATGGGGATTAAATCACTAAAATGTGCATTCCTGGATATTTATACCGAATTTCAAATTTGAATTCAAAATAGTGGAACGGAAAACACGGCTGAATTGACACTAGTGTCTAATGTTACCTTATTGGTATTGTCACTTTGGTTTTTTCCTGCACACATGTGGATTATAATGGCCACCGTCTGTGTGTCTGATATTAGAGATCATACTTGCAGGAGCGGTCTTTTTTTATCTTTAGCGATCTCTACACACAGATGGTGTTGTGCTAGAAGTGCATTTCCTGGTTTGACGGCAGCTTTATTTATTGACTCACTGAAAGAAAAGTATCTGTTTAAACCAAATCTTAGCAGGTAGAAGGGTTACTAAAACCCACAGTTTAAAAGTTCTCGCTGTAGTGGTTATGGTGCAGGACTAGTCTGCTCCATTCCTGGTAATTGGCAACTATCTCCTTTAAGTCTGGCTGGGCGTGCATCCGGCTTTTGCAGAGCTGAATGCTAACCCCGCCGTTCATTTATTGGCTGAGAACATCAGCGGACTGCTCTCAGCCAATGATTGCAATTCTTTGCCCAGCATCGGGCTGGCTGATGACATCCCAGTGACACTGTCGGAGGTGAAGTTACACTCCCATCAGCAAAAAAGTTAACTCTCTGTATGTGCAGCGTTTTACAGTAAAACTCTGCACATACAGCCTCCAGGCACCAGAACTACTTCAAATCTCTGAAGTGGTTATAGTGCTTGAGGTAATCCTTTAAGATTTTTGGTGACACATAGAACTAAGAGGCCTAGCCATGCAATTCTCGATAATTAAAGTTTCATAACAATTACATATAAGAGTCCATACTATGCTGTAGAATTCTCCCCATTAAGCAGGGTTCACTTTCATGCAGGGGTGCCCAAAAGGTAGATCCTTAGATGTTGTAGAACTACAACTCCTATTACATGCCTTTAGAATGACAAAGCATCATGAAAGTTGTAGTTTTAAAACATCTGGGGATCTACCTTTTGGGCACCCCTGCTTTTACCCTCCACTGCAGCCAGGGCAGGACATAGGGAATTAAAGGGACACTATAGACACCAAGGCCACTTCAGCTCATTGAAGTGGTCTGGATGCAGTGACCATGTCACTTTAACCCTGCAATGGTAATTATTACAGTTTCTGACTTTAATACTCATCTACAGGGGTCAACGTCTGAAAACTAAATAATTCAATAATTATGTCCATGTAAATAGACCTAAGAATTTGGTAATTACATGGACATAATTATTGAATTATTTAGTTTTCAGACATTGACCCCTGTAGATGAGTATTAAAGTCAGGAGTCTGAACTACTATTAGTTATAACATTAACCTAAGTTTGTTTTGGAGGATATCCATTTGGCTTTTTTAAATTTCTGTTGATTCTGACCTTTGGTTGGGGAATGTATAGCTGTACTGTTATCATTTTCACACAAGCACTATTACATCTTTAATTTCGGATGTTTTATTATCATTTTCGTTGGCTTCCAAGTTCCAGTTTAAACTCTGGGGTCTGGATGTTTGGTCCAGTAGCCGGAGTATTGTTTGTACTAAAGCAAAAGAGACAATATTTAAGCTTTAAACACATAATTGTTTAAAGGATTACTCCAAACATCATAACCATTATAGCCCACGGTAGTAGCGATGATGCCAGGATTGCCTCAGCCCGGTTCCCTGGGCAAATGGTTTAGCAACGGTGTGCTCTGTATTCTGGGTTCCCGAGAGGCCACATAGAGTCTGGGTGGGGTTAGAAGGGGAGGGCTTGCAAAGGCTGCAGACAAGAGATCTGCAAATTTTGCAATCTGGTTTTAGATACAGCCCCAATGGAACAAATGCATGTATGTTTTCATTGGAGGAAAATCTACCAACTAGTATTTATTTATTTTGATTTTGGAAGTGGGGTGTCCCTTTATGTTTTCAGTTCTTTTATTTCAACATTAAACTTGACAAATTCCCCAGTGATATCCAGACAAATCACAGTTTAGTGAATAACCAATACAGTATTATCAATAAGTTACATCCTTTTGTATAAATCCATACTCTGATTCAGTCACTAGCACTCTTATTTCCAGACATAAGGCAGCTATTCAGACACGGATATTTGACAATGTGATTGGTATCATAATGAATATGCCTAATATTCACTAGAATGACCACATCACAAATATATTCAGCAGGCTTTTAACAAGCCCATACTACTGGGATGTAATCAGTATAATGTAGCAAGCAGCCCTAAGGTATGCATTTTTATAAAGCATTCTTGAATAAATATGCAATGAGATCACCTTAATTATCACTGATGAATCACATTCCTTTCCTGAACAGTGTTTATAGGAACTGCTGTATAATGCAGTAATTGCTTAATGCGATCCTGAATACAAAATTACAAAAATAATCTATAGTTAAGGGATGGCCAGAATGTAGATTACCGGTTATTGCTGAACGCTCATCACTAAATTGGCTAAGAAGCTTGGGAGTTTTAATCCAATAAAACATTCATTTTTTCTATAATTTGTTGGCACTATATAAATAATAATAATAATTTTTTGGGCCTACCTTGCATTTTTTCTTTTTTTGCAATCCTCCATTTCTGGTGTGATTTCACAGTTTTTTGGATTCTGTCTTTGGCTTTATTCTATTATCCCGTTCTGGTGCCTTCCTTTGTAGCTTTAATTGATGAATTAGGTCAGGAATGAGTAGTCTGGTTTTGCATGGTGAGAAGTGTAATCCACATTCCTGGACTCTATAACCAACTGTACACACTAGTTGCTAAATGAATCACACAAGGCCATACAAAGTTCAAAGATCTGACCACCTGAATGATTTTTTTTTTTAAACTGATTAAACCACCTGTTTATGGGAGCAGGTGACCAGGGCCTGCAGGTTGTGCCATGAGAATGTCCACTTAGGTCTGATATTGGAAAACAGATGGCTAATGAGGTAACACAAACCAAAACTTCACCTCTCACGATTTGTGCCGAAATATTTCATTTCAAACTTTGTAATCTGTGAGGTATGCAAGTCACACAGGGAAAATCTGAAATAAGGCTTAAAAGGATAAAATGTCCAGGTACGACAGAACTCATTTTCATCGTTATTAATGAGAAATCTATTGGTTTTAGCTTTTCCCTTTTAGTTTAATTTGATTACTGTGAATGCAGAGCTACTATTGTAGATATAAAGCAGTTTATTTGTAATGAATTTACACAACCCAAACCACAAATCCCATGTCTGACTTATTCACTATAGTGAGAATTATCAGGAGTTTAAGTGAATGTTAAATTTTAGGATACAATCTGCAAGTTAGCCTTGGTTTTTAATTTGCTTATTTCTGCCTAAATTTCACGTTTAACCCCTTAGGTACACACGACGTGTGACATGTCATGATTCCCTTTTTATTCCAGAAGTTTGGTTCTTAAGGGGTTAATGTGAATTCCCAGCAATTCATACTTTAGCGACTAATCCTGTTTATTTTCATTACTATCAGGGTATGCTCTAAAGTGAGTTTCAAATTTAAGATCCGCTATGTTTTCAGTGGCCTTAAAGAAACAATATAGTGTTAGGAATGCAAACCTGGATTCCTGAAACTAAACAGGGATAGGCAACCTTCGGCACTCCAGATGTTGTGGACTACATCCCCCATAATGCTCTTATGCCCATAATGCTGGCAAAGCATCATGGGAGGTGTAGTCCAAAACATCTGGAGTGCCGAAGGTTGCCTATGCCTGCTACTATATCCTCACTATTTACGATAGAGGGCCCTCCCTATCTTTTTAATTTTAAAAAAAAGTTTTACTTCCCATTCTTCAACTCTGAGGCTCACACAGTGGTGCCTCCTGCTCCCTCAAAAGCGTCTTAGCTTTCCGTCCCGTTGGGATAAGTGCATGTACAGTGAGGGCTAAACTGTCCAATCAAATTCATGCAACATCCTGTAACAGTCGGTTATGGGAATGGAAGCACCCTCTAGTGGCCGTCAGGAAGACAGCAACAAGAGGTGTGTTTAGCCCTGCATTTCAAACATTGCTGTATCTACTAAAAGGCAATGTTTTTAAAAAGCCGGGGACCCTGTACCCAGATCACTGCCGTTAGTGTCCCTTTAAATTCACTTTGAATTCATACCTGAGTAAATAACCCTGTATATTTCTCTGTATGTTTGTAATTCATGGTTGATTTTTTTTTAATCATGTATTTGGCCTAAATTTTGCAATTCAGTCTCTCACTTGTTTACTGAAAACATTACACAGGGAACATTCCTGTCAGTTTTCAATTCACTACTATCTAGATTTAATTTTTAAAAAATAAATAAAAAACGTAAAGGAACACTGTGAATAGCATAAAAAAGTAATTGGAATGAAGTTGTTATGGTGCCAGGAGGTGCCTGGCACAAGTTTGCCTTCAGGGGTTTATTTCAGCTGTCGCCTTGTCTATCAGCGATGCCCAGCCTGTGGCTTCCTGATTCAAGCCTCAGACTCAAACAGATGTGGAGGGGGCAAAGCTGACCACTGTCGGACAGAAAATCTTAATGAACAGTTTACTCATGAAGGTATGCTGGGGTCAGGGACCTCATTACAACATATCTTCATTTTTATAAAGTTGTTATGGTGCTCAGAGTGATTCTGTGACATTTTTACATTGCCTAATGCAAAGTCTCCTTTCGTTATCATTGAAAGCAGAGCTAACCATACTCTGTCATTATTTCGTTTGCGTCACATAACTCCCTGCCCTGAGGTGGGGTGGATTAACTAAAATTGACATGGCCAAGCATGTGACTGATCTTGTTTCTGTGAAAAGTATAAATCAAGAACAGTCTTAAAGGAACTCTAATACTTTTGTGTGTCTGTTCCTATTTAAAATCTTCCCCCCTCTGCCTCCCTGTTTGCCCTGTAACATAACAAAATGTATGATTTCCACACCCTTTTCCACTGCTGAGGATCACTCTGTGCTGCTTACCTCTCTGCCTCCTTTGATGCCACGGTGGAGGCATGGCTTTCTCCGCAGATATCCAATCCAATGCTCTTCGAAGATTAGCATTGGGAACCCTTTGCGCACGCACGATGAGCACCGCGCACGCATCCAAGCTTCCCCATAGGAATAAAACAATGCCGTCCTATGGTGGCTTCCACGTCACGTGACTGAGATTTTCGTGGTAAGAGCTGCAGAAGCACCTCTAGTGGCTGTAATGTTTTGCATTGCAGGGTTACAGGTACAGGACCACTGCACACAGAGAACTTCATTCCGTGGGATGCAGGTGGACACAACACTGACTGCAAGCATATTAATGCCAGACCCTAGCCTATCTGACATTTGCCCAGGATACCAAATAAAAGCTGGTTCAGGCATTGTATAGATTTCGTAAGAAGATCAGCAGGCTTATGCCTCAAGCAAATATCTCTAGCCCGCTCTCAGATATGTCATGTTGTTAATGTCTGTAAAAAAGAAATACGCAAAAGAGCAAGGATAAAGAAATGTGACACTGGTTAAGATTTGCTCCTCCTTAAGCCTAGGACTGCACCCCGGGGCTTTCCACCCCTGGCTGGCATGTCGTAGCCATAGAAGTGTGAATGTCACCGTCAGGGCAGGAGAAACACAAACCAATATTCATTTTTTTTTTTTTTATAATAATAATTTCTTTATTAGTTTTATCACAAAATACATAAAACTCGAATAGATACAAATTTCTTCACAGTATTCTTGCTTTGACACAAATTACATAAAACATACACAACAATCGGCCTGTCAATTAACAATATATTACTATACTATTATAACACAGTACAGGTAATACCCTATGTCTGTCAACTAACTCAACATATTGTCCTAATCCCAGCTCTTACCCGGCTTCCCCTATAACAAACACAATCCCCAAGCCTCCATCTTAATTACTTTTTACGCCCATACCCTAGGAGGACGATAAGCTGAAATATAGCCATCTTCTATACTAGAAAGGGAGATGCTATATAAATATGTATAAAAGTAAAAGGGGAAAAAAATGTTTTATAAATAAATTTAACCCTAGGAATGAGGCAAACCTCATGAGGTATCTTTGGGTACCTATACTTTAACAACCACACACATACCACTTTCATTGTTCCAAGGATCTAAAGGGGAGGTCGGCTGACGAGGAGGAGTAACTATAGTGAGTTTTTTCCAAGGGTCAAACAGTGGTCATCCCAGAGTGCCCATCTATGCTTCGGATCTATAGAAGCCCCTAAGTGCCCATCTTCTCTTTCTAATGTTCTGTTACAAACCAATATTCTGACTTTAGGTGGGACCCACTTCATGAAAGGCTGAGCACAGTGAGATGGAGTCTGTACTAGGGGTGGTGGCAGAGTGTGCCCCTACCAGGGGTATGGAAGAATGTTGCCAGGATAGATACTGGTTCACAATCTTCAGCTGGTAAACAACACCAGTCTCTGCATTCAAGGTGACATGAAGAACACCCACCCACTGTGAATGCACCTCGCCCTTCTTGGTCTGAGCAGGTGTGTGCCTGGCACAGTCCTTAATAAATGTAACAGTACAGTCACAGTTTTTTAAATTATCCTTCATATTCTACAAAAATAAATGAGTTATCACAAGGACACCTTCTAGGCTAATATGAAATGACAGTACAAACAGAACAATTCATCATCTTTACAGGTCCATAGATCACACTGACAAAGGCACAGTTTGTAAAACTTTGTAAAACAAGCAACTTTTAGAAGACAATTTATTTTATTTTTTTAATCTTCCTGACTTTTAAAACAACCAAATTAGCTAATTGTTATACATGACTAAGGCCTCTAGGCCGAAATGTTGTATCTTTTTTTCGTCCTTTTTGATCTCCAATAAATAATTTTTTTGCCTTCACCCTACATGGTGACGCCTGTGGAACTCTACTTCCTACTAAATGTTAGTTTTTAGCTATGCTTAAAGTGTTCTCTTTTTGGTTTTTAATTAGTTTTCTATATAGGAACTGAAAAAGATCTGCCTAGGTTTGACATGTATTTACCCATTCATGGCTATGGTTAGGGAAAACCTTTTTGTTAATGGTTCTGAAGGGGTTAATTTACTCTTTCTAACTTTAGAGGGGGGGGTGTGTGTGTGTGTGTGTGTGTTTATAGATCATTGAAAATATATATTTTAGAAACAAGAGATGGTGCTAAGTCTAATAGTGAAACAAGTTGCAAAATTTAGATCAAATCATCTGCTAAGTAAAACCTATTCGTTAGAGGGTTTTTCCTTTCTTCCCTCACGCTGACCTGTGTCAAGTGACCACAGTACAATGCTTAGTGAGGGGCCCCATTGTGGCATATAGGGTTCACATATTGGGACCTAGCTTTAGGATAACCTACCTGTGGGAGAATTACATTTAGAACTGGTGAATAAGCCGTGCTAAAGCTGTTACCTTCAGACTGCAAACTTGTCTGAGCAGGGCTCCCGCCAACCTCTCTTCTTACATGCGCAGCTTGTCTTTTTGCAACTGATTGCCTTTTGGACAGTGCTGTGAAATATTTCAGCACTTTATAAGCATGTAGAAACAAACCTTTTTTTTTCTTTTATGAGTGTTACTTATGTAGCACAGAATACTTTTGATAAAGCACAATGAAATACCCCCAACCTTCCTTATTTCATCAGGACTGTCACTTCATAACGGTCACGTTAGTCACCTCAATACACAAAGCGTGAAAGCACCAGAACTACGCAAAGACCCTAGAAAGCGTATTACTTGAGAATGACATGGTTTAATAAGAGAACGGCAGAGACAAGTCAGGTACAAAGGGGACCAGAAATCATGTAGTCAAGGTAAAAAGCCACATCAAGGACCAGAAATCAGAATAGTCCGGCATCGCAGAGTCAAAATCTGAAAATTACAAAAGTCTGTGTAAAAGCACTATTGGGAAACGCCAGAACTACAAACTGGTATAGGATGGTTGGAAACACCGTTATTTATACGCTGGGTGCGTTCTAAAAATATCCGCGCCTCCATAACACAAGGAGGACTCGAATACAAGAACAGCTATGTCATGACAATAGAGGAGAGACAAATACAGACTAGAATCCTGAGTGCAGTGCAAGAGTGTCTAATGATACGCATATGCTACACTTTATGGGGCAGGATGGCGGAACAGGACCCAAAAATCGTGACTGTCCAGCCAAAATTGGGCTGGTTGGGAGACCTGCTTTATGTGTGTAATATATGCATTCTCTCCCCCTTTAGACTTACAAACCATTCTACTTCCTGCTAGCATTTATTGTACACACAGATATTTTACTCTTTATCAGTAATCTATCTACAGGGCAAAGATACTGATTACTAACACAAACTCATATATCACTTATTGTTTATGTAACTTTTTTATAAGCAGTAAATCAAAATTCATTATACATTAACCTAATGGATTTCTCATCAGGGAAGCGATTACAAAAAATTACAACATTTATATTGTTACTCATTAAAGTCTGAACTAAGACAAGACCTTTTAAAGGTAGTCTAGAAATATTCAGCTTCCTCGTTGTCCGTTTTTTTTTGTGGTTATCATGTCAAGGGAAGTATAATAACCTTCCTTACACGCAGGGCTTAAACCTATACTATCAAAATGGAAAAACAAAGGATATATACTATGACGAAGTGCCCTTCGCCACTTGTGCCGCGAGGGGACTACTGGCTAGCCTCCTGCCTTCCGACTATGGCCCCTGTGCTGATAGCTGTATTTTCCCCTGCAGAAAGGTTTATTTGGGTATTTCTGCCGAGGCGTTCGGGACTTTCTGTGAGTAGTGCTACCCCAGATAGCTATGCCATGGAGTCTATTTGTGTAACAAATTTGGCGATTAAACTGTATGTAGGTGATCTGAGCGGCATTCGGTAGTAATGTGCGCTCAGATCTAAGCTATCTGGGGATATGTTGCATGTATATGTTTTATGTAGTAATTGTAACATTGTGTAATTTTATGTATTTTTCCAACCATGTGGTTAATAGAGTCTTGCCTCCGTCCTGGGAGATAATTTGATTACTTCCCAATTATCTCCAGGATAGAGAGGAGGGATTGTGATGTCACTGTGGGAGTGTTTTGTTTGTGTTGTCTGTGATTGGCTAATATCCAATATGTGTCCCATTGTTCCATCAGGTCCCCTAGGGGGACACTTGCATAAATACCGGGCAGGTAGCCCTCAATAAACCAGACCAGAAGGGATACCTACACTCTGGGGATTGCTATAACTTAATCCCCAGAGTAAGCTCTTGTAAGAGCTTGATTTGTTCCTGCTACGCTCTCTGGATTTAGGAGAGGTTCACCCACTGGGAGCTGGATCCTGGTCGTGGATCCAGGGTGGGTGAGAGACGGCGAGACCCCGGCGCAGCTGCATCACTGAAAGTGGGGTCCGCAGTGCTGATGGTGTCGGTTGGAGTGCTCGGAGTCCTTGACAAGTGCTAGGAGCATCGATTGGCGGAGGTACTCAGCCAGCGTTCCGTCACATATACGTATTACCGGACCTTAGAGTGTCTGGGCTTAACACCATGCCTATAGTAGGCTAATAGCACAATAACCAAAGCTGGGTCAAGGAGTAAAGATAACCGAATAGTCAGACAAGCCAAACCAGGAAACCAGGAATTCTCAGAATAAGAAGCGCACTATTGGTATCGCAAATAAACCACAACAGGGCGCTGGACAGATGGAGGGCTCAAGTATATATAGGCCTGGGGGCATTTCATTGATAACCATGCCACCCAAAAAGTGGGTGTCGGCAATGGTGTGAGGTTGGCATGGCCTAATTGCTTAAAAGGGGTGTGACTACAACATTTTGCATAAGAAATGTTGGCTAAGCTGTCTGAGGGTGTGTAAGTGCATTGTTGATCACTTGGGGTGGCAGTAGTACCGGGTGAGTGGCATAGCGCAAGGCTTTCTATCTTTACAATAATTTTACTTATTCCATTGTTTTTGTGTTGCGTTTTTTTGTTTGTTTTTTTCATCTCTGTATATACCGGTATTTATTTACTCTTAACAAAAGAAAACTGTGTCAAAATGTATTAAACAGAATTCTGTTTCCAAACCCTCCCCTTAAGTTTCCTCCCCAATACCTGTATAAAAGGTTAGCATTTGACAGTGTTAGTAATATAAACGAAAAAAAAAAAAATATATTTTTTGTCACATTTTCTCCAGCGCTGAGTTTCTCCCAGTGGTGCTGCAGCCACCTCCTCCTCATCTGATGCCATCCTGGAGGAATGCCAATCCAATGCTCATGATAAAATCGCATTGGTGACCATAGGCGCTCGCTGTGATGCGCCGTTTATGCTGTCATATATATATATATATATAATCCTTGAATGCAATGATTGTCTATGGCAGACCGTGATGTCAAGGATGTTTGGGTCAGAGCTGCTTTAGGCAACCTTTGTGTGAAAATCTTCACAGTGAAACTCCCTGGTCATACCCCTTCATCCTTG